GAGAAATGATGGTACTCCTGATAGAAAGAAATATTTAGGTATGATTAGTAAAGGACAGATGGTAAAAAATCCTGAGATGCAAGAAGAGTATGCTATAGCCTGTGATGAATTTTATGCTTTATTTAAGAAACATTACTTACAGTATATTGAAATAATTGATCCAGCCAAATGTACTCCACTATATGAGGAATATATTTATTGTTTCCCTAGTAGATGGATAGAAGCTAAGAAACATCAGTTAAGACGATGGTTAGATAAGGTGGTATACAGATCTAATCCTGATTTCTCAGTAAAGTTTTTGATTGAATTGTTAAGTAGTATTAGCTATTATGAAAAGTACACAAAAAATCGATTTTGTCATTTACTGCCCTATAACTAAATATAGAAGTATTCTAGGCTGGTCTTAAAAAGATTGCTTCTGCACGACAAATGCAAGGAAATAGACTTTGATTGAATATTATATTATCTCAACTATATTTAGCCAAATACACTATACATAACTTATTCATGATATAATTTATTTTTTTTTTGTGAAATATAATCTACATGATCGCCTAGTATAATTGTGAAATGTATCACCTGCGGGATAAAAAACCTGATTTGCCTATTCTGAGATAATTAGCACGTTTCCGATCTTTGTTAAAATATATATAATATAATGTTGAGATCTTTAATGTATATTCCACATGCTATTAATCACAAACACAGGTGTAAAGTGCCTTGCATATTCTCCTGTCTCTTTTCCAATATGATTGTAAGCCTAGAGGGGGCATTTATTATGCTTTTACATTATTTTTTTTTTACTTCGCTTAACAGAGCTTTCACTAACATTTAACCTTTACTTTATTAAAATATGGAAGAATTCCTTTTAACAAAAGAACCTCTTAATATTGTCAGAATCTCTACAGCATTATTTGTACGAGTAGAGCAAGGCGAATAAATAGGCGTTGTTAAGCCTAAACACTACGTCGTTAGAATAACAAAGCTTATTTGCTAACAGGGAGTTTAAGTTGTAAACTATGAAAGAAATAAACACGAATTTATTAAAGTTGAAGGGGCAGGTCGTCTTTATTGATGATTTATGTTTTAAGGAAATAGATATTGACAAAGATATAGTTTTTATGTTGTTAAGATTATACTTTATTAATTGTACGATTGAAACTTGTTATTTTGTCAAGACGACAATACAGGATATTTATATAAAATACAATTATAATAAAGAGATAATAAATATAGTAGTGAAAATAGATATAACTATGAAAATAAATATATTAAATAAAATAATGATAAACGTTATAATGATGAAAATAAATATCACAATGATAACCGTGATAACAGTAAAATCGGTGAAAATGGTGATCACGATTTTCCTGGTAATCATTTGTGACGTTAGTTGGCACAGTCATTTAGTTGCGCAAATGGATTATCACTAACATCGCTATATCAAGAGTTGACTGTACTCATTTTATTGAAAATTTTCTATCAAATTATGTTTAATTAAAATTAAATCATTATATATTAAAATAATTTAAAAAATATAGTCGCATGTGACTTTATAATATAATTATATTATAAAGTCACATGCAACTTAGATTAAGTTATGAAGGCAACTTTATAGTCTGCTATTATCTTTATAATATAATGGTAACTTTATAGTCTACTAGTATCTTTATAGTCTGCTGGTATTTTCATAATATAATAGTAACTTCATACTTTGCTGATATTTTTATAATATAATGGTGATATCATAATCTAATTACATAATCTGATGGTAACTTTATAACCTATTATTCATAATCTTATTGTGATTTTATAACCTATTTATGGGTAGCTCCTTTACGTTTGTAACATTATTTTAAAAGTTTCTTGTATAATATAATAGTAACTTTATAGTTTAATGGTAACTGGTAATATTTTAATTTAATGGTGATATCATAATCTAATAGTGACTGCTTTCTTCTTGTTTTCAATCTGTTTATATAATAAAATCTATATTGTTAGTTCTGACTTTTCAGTCTTCTTTAAATACTTAGTTTTATAATAAAGATATCAGTCCTCTATGTTAGTTTAGATACTAGTTTTATATTAAGAATTTGCACCTATTTGGTTGCCTTTCTAAATCCCAAAATGTGGTAAAAAATATCATATTAGGTAGCATAGTAGATCTGTAATTAATTTTGGCTGATCTTTTGGGTATGTGATTTGAGAATCTAGCTCAATACTATGATAGTAACTTAATAATGTCATGGTGGTATTATAGAACTATCATAGAATTATTAGAAAACTGGTAGAAGGCTAGAGAGATTCTATTAGTTTGCCAATTTCAGATCACTTGTATACTAACTTGGATGCTGAGTTATTATATTTAAGAATCTGGCTAAAGTATTATGCTTCTTAGAGGTATAATAAGCATTATTATGACCATCCTATTTGTTTGCCAGAAATGTATACCTTGTAACTAAAGCAACTATTACCTATTTTTTATCAGTATATGTATGTCAATTTCACGTCTAATATTAGAGATATGATATGTATTATCATAATTGACCTATTTATACCATACCCAAGTATATATCTAAAAAAGTATAAGTTTTCTTCCATTATTTTAAATAATATTTCTAAAAAAAACTTATTCTCTGAATATATATATACCACATATGCCTAAATATATACTATCAAAATATAGTCTTTATATTATACCTGAATATATACTAGTGATAGGGTAGCTAAGTACCAATATTTTTATAATAGATTACACATTTGGCTATCCTAGATGACATATCCAGATACATACTAGTGATAGGGTAGCCTTCTTTTATTATTTTATATAAAGATTCTAAAGAAAGCTACCCTGAATACATATACCTGAATATATACTAGTGTTAGGATAGCCTTTTGCCAATATTTATATAATAGATTTCGCAAAAGACTATCCTAAATACATATACCTAAATATATACTAATGTTAGGATAGCCTTCTGCCAATATTTATATAATAATTTATGCAGAAGGCTACCCTTAATATCACCTATTAGAAATATATTTATTCATGATTTGCTTATCATCTTACTATGTATTTTTTTTATATCTATCAAAAAAAATAAATTAAACATTTCTGAATTTTATAAAGTACTATAAGTATTTTCAAACTAATGACATATATATCTCAACTATTTTTGACCAAACTGATCATACTAGAACTCTCATCTGCTATAAAAGCGCTAGATTTTTAGCTAGCATTTTATCACGTAATGAGATCATAGCAAAATATGATAATGGAATGTCTGCTATACTTCAACAAAGCCTATCTAGCAAACAACTCATACATTTCATACCTACTGAAGTTAGTGATGATACCAAATATATAAATGGGACCTTTACCTATATTTTGCATATCATTGGTTTTTTAATTAATAGGCAAAAAGCAGTCGTGAATATTACAGGTATCTGACCTTTCTTTGATGTCAAAGTTCCTAAAGACATACCATTATTAATATTTAAGACCAAATTAGTAAGGATACTATCTAATATTTTCAATAATACATCAAAGTTTAGAGTCGAGACTATAAGCACTTATCTATTCTAAGAATATCATACAGAAAAAAACTATATATTCATGTAAGAACATGGAACTTCTACAACTGAAATAACTCATTAAAAGTCTCAAAGACCACTACTAAGGCTATAGGTAACTCATCGGTAAGTGTGTAACTTTAGGGAGATTTTTTTGAATAAGTGAATAGCTTTCATTTTGACTAATAACCAATATTTGAGAGGCTGAGATTTGATGATAGATTTGTTATAGTTGATGAAGAGAATGTTCATAATGCCATAAATTTCAATATATAGATGATATTAAATGACTTTATGGGACCAAACTGTATATATTCAAGGCAACCTACTGAAGCCACTGGCATACCAGATTTCAAATATCATCTCACAAAATTATTGATCTTGATGATTGAGGTAAAAAAAACATGTTTTAGAAGATATAGGCGAAGAGACATTTCTCTAATTTTATCAGACGAGCAAAGGCAAGAATGTAGTTTAATAAATCTATAATTATATAGGAGAAAATGAACTTATATATAGCATTCTTACCACCTATGATAATCATTAGTTCCTATATTGAGAGTATATAGATCTCTGAATTTCAGAAACCCTCTCTCACTTCAATCTGAATCGCCACTTGTACTCAAGATATATGCTTATCTAACTCAGTTGACAAAAAAGAATCCTAACTCTCTTAAATCCCAAATACTTGTGCCAGCTCAAAGGAACAATAATTCATGTATCCATAGGTCTCATTCATAATCATCTTCCAATTCCTCATTAAATAATAATCAGACTTCTGACACCTCTGCAAGTTAACAATTGTCTTCAAATACTTCTATTAAATAGAACAATTATAGCTTCTCAGACTTCAAGTTCAAGAGTATACTAGGTGAAAGTCAAAGTGAAAAAACACTTCTATGCGAATTTTGTAATGATATGATTGCTTTGAAGAGTGCAGACTTATTTAAGGTCTTATTGTATATTCTGGAAGAAATGCAGAAAGAAGTAGAGATGTACAAAGATCTAGCTGATATTCAAGACAAGTATATTTCAAAGCTGATCTGTTATGGATATTATGGAAGAAGCATGAACTTCGTTATCAGCTTAACTATTGTTAGCATTATATTGAATGACTAAAAATAACGGAACAGTAAAGTCAAAGGCTATTAAGAATTGGAAGCAATCTACAAAAATGGCATCCTCCATAATGATATTTGGGAGGAAAATATCCTAATTAATAATAATGATGATATCTACTTAATCGACTTCGAGATGGCAAGCCAGGAGGACACAAAAAAGAAGAGAAAGCTTTTTAATGAGAAACAGCTCAAATTATCTCAATTATTAGATGGATATATTGTGTAAAAATCTAACTATTTCACAAATTCCTGTATTGTGGTTTTCTGTAATCCTAGTTTCTTATAATTAATAATCATGTATTTTACAGACATTTTGTAAAGAAGGAGAGGCGAATTACCAAGTCACGTAAATGTAAGGTGGTTAGTTAAACTGTAGGATTAGACATTAGCATAGACATCATATATTACAGGTTACGTCCTGAACATTTATATTTATTTTTGCATGTAATAATAAAAATTTTTTCTTGACAAAAGTGATCAGTGTAAGTATACGTGATTTTTTTATTTCAAACATAATTTTAGATTATGAAATACTGTGATAAAATGTCACAATCAAACTACTGTCTAAAACTTTGCATAGTCACCGTTCAGATTGTCTTTACTATCTCACAAATACAAAGCAACTTGAGTACAATATGGATAATGTAAGAGGTTATAACAGATGCGAAAAATGGTATTTTATGTAAAGGAGAATGAAAGGGTAAAGTCATTGAGTAATCTCACAGAGGGGATAGAAACCTAGTGATGTAGTAACTTTATGTATTATGAGCAGAGTCTTAAATAAAAAATTTTTAGTAACAACAATCACTGATAAGAAAATATCTCATTTTTCATAACCATCGTATAATATCATGGCATCTTGACTTGAAGATAAGCGTTCAGATAGATGCTATATTTATTAGTTCTGAATTTTGACTTGAATACTCATGTGATTTTTGATCATGAAGATTCTTCACAGTTGCATCTATAATGTGATAATGTGATATAATGAATGCATATCAAATATAAGTTGTATGCTAATATTTCTTGATCATTGATTCGATACTTGATAAATAAATGTGTATAGATGACATCATGTATTATAGGAATAAATAATTTATTATCGACCCTTATATAAGAAATTTTTCTATTCTAAATTAAAATTATAGGTGAATTCTTTTATATTCACCTTATGCGAGTAAAATGAAAAAATCAAATGGAATAATCAAACTTGCACCATCAATCGTGTGCTTGATTCTTGAAGTTTTAATAAGAATCAAAAAACTTACTTTCTCGTAAATCCTAATAAAGATTTCGATACAGAGGCAGATTGGAATTGAAACTTTTAATTTATTGATATTTTGCTTGCAATGAATTAATTCAGATATTTTTCTTCAGAAAATTGGTATATAAATAGGTATATAGATAGCGAAAAGTTAGCAATAATAGTATGAAGTAGCTGGATTTTTCCTTTTAAACATCCGCTATTCAATTATTTTTTTTACTAAATTAGTTTAACTCAGTGGTAGTATTTTATTTCCATAATTTCATTCATTTTACTAAAAATAAAAGATTTTTGCTTTATCTTTAATCTGTATATTTAAAAGAAGTTATAGAAATGTGAAAAATTTAAAAATGATACTTTTTTAATTTTTATTTCAACCTATTTTACAAATTATTATAATCATAAAATTTTATTAAACTATATTATAGTAATTTGAAAATCATATGCATTAGACGTAATAATTATTATACAAGAAATATTATTTCCTTCGCATGCACACTATGCAATTGTGATACTTAATCATCAATTAACATTTCTGATTCTTCCTCCCCCTCATCCATTGTCTTTTCTGATACTCCTTCAGCAATAAATCTTGTAAAATCTCTGTATATTCCCATAAACTCCAGAAATTGATTTTTAAACACAATGCCAGTCCTTGTTAGAAGCTCGTTAACTTGATATGAAAATCACTTTACAGTCATCACTATAAAGCATTCACAACTCTTAGTAGCCTTTTTTAATTCTTTTTTTAAAATCATCTAGTGTAAACTCTCTTACAGACGTTTCAGAAAGAGGAAAACCTGATTCGATAGCAGAACTGAATTTATACTGCTCTTTCATATGTGATGTTAATGAGTCAGATAAGTTACTACGTCTATGAACTAATATGATGAAACGGCCTATTATAACATCTACATTTTCTACCTTATCATTATTAGCATCTGCGATAACAGATACTTTTTTACGGTCAATTAATTGATTTCAAGTATATAGATTCTTGGGATCATAATCTTTCCTTTTTAAGATGGGTGCTGATCTATAATTTACATTAGGTTGGATGTTAATTGTCTTAGATAACATTTCATTTAATGCTAAAAGACACCCGAAATAAATTTCTTCAATAATCATTTGACGAATTCCAACCAAATCTGCCAATTTGTATGTAATCAGATGCATATGTAAAATGAATTTTGGGAAAAATTCTTCATCAAGTTAGATAAATGGATCCAAGATGATATCATCAAAAAAATCCAACTTTAAATGTGAGACAAGAGATGCAATTAATACAAGAGGGGCTTTAGCTTTATAATGCATGTTATCAATTTTTTTTAAAAAAATAAGCCTCCGGCTTCATGATTCCCTACAGTACTATCATCCAGAGCAGTATCTTTGGTAATCAGCTTTTGAGTATGAATCTAAAATATAAGTTTCAATATAGCCTTTTTACGTTTTTCATCTATAACATCTTGTGGATCTTTTCTCCCTCTAACACAATCTAATTAATTATCAATCGAATACTTTTGTTTTGCCCAATCAATAAGAATTCTCCAAATTTCTTTAGTTTGTTTTGCTGAATCAAAAGATCTCTTTATGTTCAATAACTCTAAAGTACACTATTCTATAATAACTGCAATTCCTCTAACAGTACCAACCAAGGTACAATATAATGGATTATTACGTGAAATTGGATTAGTGAATTTATTGGAAGTTTTCATTTTATGATTTATTACAGAATCCATAAAGTTAAGAGATTTTTCTATATCTATAGGTGACATATATATATCATAAACATTATAATCAGTCACGCTAAGATGACTTGGATTATCAAATTTCTAGAGCTTTATTGGAGCAGTGCCTGTACAAATAGGTACAATCAAAATTTTCAGATCACAAACTAGTTTATTTGCTACAAGTTGAGAGGTGTAACGCAAAATGTTGGCTATTAAATATTCATCACGCTGGTATTTCATCTAGTTGTAAGATAATTAAAAGGTTCTGCCAAGATTCTATAGAACAGGATTGTTGAATCGCTTGTAAGACTGTTATTAAATTAAAAGTAGAACTTTTTGCTAATTCTTTGAAATATTGTAGAAATTCTTGATAGTAGTTTTTTTGTGAAATAATAAGATCAATTGCCAATGCTAGGTAGTGACCTACACTGTTTACATATGATGGATTATGAGGATAACGACCTGTAAATTAGTCACGTGAAGGTCATTTATCAAAATAAACAAGGGTAGATTCTGGGAAAATCTGGATAAATATATGGATAGGTTTAAAACCACTATTCTTAATTTGTTTAAGGTCTTTGATTATATTAATTATCTCAAATCTATGTCGCATTTTTCCAGTATCAGAACTACCTGAAATACTGATTCCTTGATAATCATTTAGATGAGAACTTTTATTCTGAAAGGCTTCTAAATTAGTTGATATTTTGCCTCTGATGAACTGTTATATATGTGCTCTTTTGATATAATTATATAAGGTTATAACAGGTTTGTCTTTATTTGCGATTTTCTGACTGATTTCGATAATTCTTTCTTTAGTAAAGGGCTCTTCTTCTGAGAATAAATAGCAGTGGGTTAAGATATAGGGCTACAGACAATACTCAAGTTATTTAACTGCAAATACCATACATTGTGTAATGCTTCACAAAGGACCTGCTTTAATGTGAAAAAAAGAGATCAGACTAAACTCGATATTTTGTTACTGCAAATTTCTTGTTTAAGAGGTAAAGCATTGAGAGACATTTACCAGTGAAGGTGGGAATAATGGTGATGATATAAATGTTTTCCGCAAATTCATCATCATCATTGTTATCTGCTTTAGTCAATTCATTTTTAAAATAACTTTTAAACAGTTTATGATCTTCCATTAATATCCCTTGAAGTTCACTTTTAATTTTATTCTCGTTAAAATCTTCTTTAATCTTTTCTCTATTGACATTAACTCTTAAAAGTTTCACTTCATTAGAATCAACTTCAATATCATCACATATATATTTCTTGAGATGTGAACATTTAAATATATTCAAGTTTTTTTCTGTACCATCTTGGAAGAATTTTCTATCATTACTGTCTTTGTAAATGTCAATCAAAATCAGACGAATTTTGGCACTTTCTCGAAGTATACAAACATTGAAAGATGCAAACATTTTGATTATATTTCTATAAAAGTGATTAATTTTTTAGAAAAAATTTGAGAAAGTTTGAGAGAAGTCTAAGGTATATTATATATTTTATATACCTTTCTGAATACATCATGACTAGACTCTTAATAGACTCTTGATAGACTCTTGTATAAACTTTTTGTGGCTTGTAGTGATATAATACAGTAAAAATTAATAATAAGCATAATAAAAAAATAATTTATCAATACACGAAAAAATGATTAATACGGTTTTATCATTACTCATTAGATTTGATTCTCTGACGAGTTCTCAGGGTATTTATTAAAAAAGTGAGTGAATTAGTGTTACGTAATTTTTAGGTCATATGAGTAGTCATATGATTGATCATATATACCATATTTGACTAATCAGATTATCAGAGTTAGCTCTGAGTCTGATATATTGAGGTTTGAAAGAGACATTTCGCAATCAAGGTATGAATGAAATATATTTTTTAGGTTGTAGTTTTACAGGAGAACGATTCTAAGACTTGCAAACAAATGATATTTTCTTGTACAGATTTCTGAAGGCTTTACTATTTACTAGAATCACGGATAGCAAACAACATAAAGTTTCAGTGTAAGGTTAATGTTATTATCCATTAATTTATTTCTGACACTTCATACAGGTATAACTGACAACCATTTTTGTTTTATCTAAAATATTGATGATTTGGGATAATGAAGCTGAATCATAGAGTGGAATAATATGTATTAGTAGTATAAACAAGCAAAAAACTGTAGGCATTAGTATAGAAACGTCATTTCACATTATAAAACAAGTTTATGTATTACCAAATCTTGTAGTTTATTTTTTACATCAATAAGTCAGTAATTCTGATGAGAATATTACCTCATTTTTTTATCTATGCTAACGAACTTTTGAATTATTTCATCTCATATAAAAAATTATCATCAAACATGCAATCTACTGATTCATTGAGAGAATTAAAATGTTAAGCTCTTAGCTAAGATCGTTAAACTTAGGAAAGAAAATGCTGAGATTTCTGAACTTAGAGAAAAGTTACTAAGATTTGCTGAGGTTGAGGTTGAGAATGCGAAGCGGAAGCAAATTATTGAAGAAAATGCAAGGCGTGATTCTGAGAATGCTGAACTCAAGTCTAGAGTCGAAAAGTTTGAGGCTAGACTTGTATTATTAGAACAGAGTTTAGCAGTGGATGGGATGGCGTTATCATTTGGTCAGATACAAAACGGTGAAGAAGTGATATCAGTGATGATGATACTAACTGTTAATGTATCCAATTCTATAATAGACAAACTCAATAATGAAGTAGGATAAGTACCTAGAGACCTTGATGGTAATAATGAGAAAATGGTCAATTTCTTAAATGAGACGTATAAGAAAAGTATTAGCAATAATATTAGAGAGAGGAGGCAAAAAAAGAAGCAGAGAGATCAAGTAATTTTTCAGGATGTGACTAAAATTCCTGAGGTTACAGATATGTTAACTTTAAAGCAAGATGAGCAAGACTTATTATAATCTTATGAGGCTAGTTCTAAGAGCATTAGATTTGCATCTTATATCTTATCGAAGCAACCGCAAGTTAATGCATCCAAATTAACATGTAATCTTAAACACTGTGAAGATTCTTCATGATCAAAGTCATGTAACATGAAGGAACTTAAATCTGATTTGCATGATGAAGTTATTACTAGAGTTCCGAATGAGTCGAGTCGAGTCAAGTTTAAAGACCAACTCTATTCGACTCATTTTTTTCGAGTCGAGTCGAGTCAAATTTATTTTATAAAATCTT